ACGGCAATTAATAGGATCAGTTCGTTTTCTCTCATTTATTTAAATATCTTTTACTCATATTTTGACTCTACGAAATACCGATTTCGAGCGTTCTCCAATATTTTATCTTGTACAATTTATGAGCTGATTGAACAAAAGTATTTGAAGAAATACAGAAATAAGAATACACGATTACAAATGAAATATCTTATATCTACGTCATAGGAATATTTCATTTAATCAAATTCTTTGTGTTGATTGTATTCGTTGTAATTGCATACTTATTTTTGTTATTGTTATTTTCGATCTAACTTATGTTTTACTATACAGTGTCATAACAAAATATCAATCTAACAGACAAACTAATCTTAACCTTATAGGAAATTAACAATCGATGAATCATTATTTTTCGTTCTTTAAAATAATCTTTGCATCATAGATGTTCTTGTTTTTATTAGTAGAGTTAAGAAGAAAAAAAATATGAATAGAACTTATATTTAATTTTATGAAAAAACAACATCATCATCATCATCATCATTAGTTTTTTTCTGTAGATGATATAAATTGTTTGTTTCCATTAATCAACGATTTCGGAGAAGTTGGTATTGTATCACCAATATTTTTCAAATAATGTTCTATTCCAGGAAACTCCTCATGTGGTGAATCATTACAACAAGTATACATTATATGATCACTATTAGATGGTTCTTTCTGTACGGATGATGATCTACGATATTGTTCTTCCGATACGGATGATGGTTTACGAGCTTGTTCTTCCAGTACAGGCGGTGGTTCACGACTTCGTTCTTTCAGTACGAGTGAGGGTTTACGACTTTGTTCTTTGTCATTCTCAACAACATCTGATGTTTTATCATCTTTTGTTGGAAGGACGACTAAAAAAGAAATAATATTGTTTTATTGAAAAAGAATTTTGAATCAGTACTTGGTAGATTCGGTGGAGGTACTTCATTTGTTACAGTGATAAATTCATTTTCTTGATTCTTAGAAGAACCTTGTGTAGGCACAGTAAATTCCATAAGATCAGATCGATACGTTTCTTTCCCATCTAAAAAAAATAAAAATAATAATAGAAGAATATTTTACAAAAAAATTAATGAACATACTCAGTATTGTTGATACTAATTGAAAAGTATGACTTTTACCACTTTCAAATCCTTTAATACAAATATGGAATTCATCTTCGATTTGTTTTTGACGTATCTAAAGAAATCCCAAATTTTCTTCTATTTATTTTTTCTAGAATTAATAAGTATACATATTGAATATCTACATCATCTAGATACATAATATATTTATGAGCAGTTTTATCTCCAAGATGAAACCATTTAACATTAAGATTTGCTTTAGGATTTTCTTCCTTATCCGGCCATGTAAAACTTATCGTTGGACTTAAAGCAAAAATTTCACCAGTAAAATGAAAATACTAAAAAAGAATAAGCATCTATCGAAAATCAATTTTATTTGAGAAAATAAAATATACACAGTTTTTTGATAATTTTGGTTCTTGTGACCATTTTGTATTATTCGGTATGGCTTTGATATAAGCTGATGGATCCTTTGTATTTGTATTAAAACCTGATGCTGCTATAGAATCATAACTAACATGAAAGTCTATTTCAGTTGTTTTATTAACGACTAACTATTACAAAAAAAAATAAGACATTTAAATATTAAAAAAATTTATAATTACTTACAATAAATTTTTGAATAAGTCCACGAGATGATTTAGGTATAACTTTAACTATTCCATAAATTTTATTATCTGGAAACTTAAAAGCTTCGAGATGAAAATCAATTACAAGGTCGTTCCATAATTTTTTATTTATCTAAAATAATTTCTTATTCAATACAAATGATATTAATTTCAACTTACTTGATCATTTTGTTTTTTATTTGATGAACTACATCATAAAACAAAACATACGACATTCTAAATAATATATATGTATCCTACCGTGACTGATCAAGATCAGACATATTTACTTATTCTAATGAATATTTATTTTGAATATAAAATTTGATTACAACTATATTTTTACTTTTGTGTTTTGTCCTTGACAACTATGGTAGAATGATGCGACCTCTTTCAAGAAAACACTAAGGAAGAGAATTTTTTTCTTCATTATTTTATCTATTCTTTTTTGTCAACTCGTAATTTACTTCTCCTTTATATTTATTTTCAAGGAAAGAAAGAATATAGCAACGGGTTACTACACAAACCATAAATGTATATATATATATATTAAAATAAAACCATATAAAAGGAAATAGAAATACTGAAATTCTCATATCGACATTGCAGTTGGTAATTATTCTTCATAATAAACACAGACTTATTTCGGTTGACAATGAGCAAGAATCCACCACGTAAATTAGATCCGGTATGACATAAATTCTTTTTATTTAAGTTCAAAAATTGAATGAAATCTTTTGTTTTATTTAGATGAATAAGGACAAATCCACAAATGTTTTTAATGAACTAAATATTCGTTATCGTGTTTGCTTCAAATTTGGCCGTAAAGAAAGGTTTTTTCCATTTAGAAAATAATGAAAATTTTATTTTATTGTTTTGTTCACTATTAGTGAAGTAGGAAAAGATGTTTGTGTATGTAATAATCCACGAAGAAGTCGTGAAGAGACAGAAAAAGTTTGTGGATTATGTAACAAGCCGCGCAGTGATCATGACAATGAAGAAGATATTTGTGTATGTAACATGCGACGAGGAAGTCACAAAGATAAAAGTTATTCCGATTCAGAAGGTGTTGCATGGGCTATGGAGCGAAATACTAAAGAAAGAATAAAGCCTGAGCACGGTATACTTTCAAATGGTGCATTGGTATAATTAAATATTTTATATTTGTTAAATTAATAACTATTTACATATGTATAGTATTTACGGCTTGCTTTGGATACACCGGTCGCAAAAGTTGACAAACTTCTTTCTGAAGTATGGGAGATCAAAAAACCTCGACTAATTATGTCAATTATTGGAGGTGCAAAATATTTCACATTAAGTGATCGACTTGAGTCCAATTTTATGAATGGTATTATTGAAGTTGCACTTAAATCAGGTAAAAGAACCAATACAAATTTTAATTTTCTTGATTTCTTTCTCTTTGAGCATAGATGCATGGCTATTTACAAATGGATATAATGTTGGTATTGTTCAACTTGTTGGACAAGCAATTAATAAAGTTAAATTTACAAAATTAGACAAACATATTACAGCTATCGGGCTTTGTAAATATGGAAGTATAAAAGATGTTGAATCACTTATAGACTTAGATAAGGGAAATAAACAGGTTTGATTTATCTTGAAAAATAATTCATAAATTTGAAAATTTAATTTTTATTCAGCAACAAACGAAAAAACCTGATGTAGAGCGGAATAGTGGTACAGAAAAAAAACGTGAAAGTGGTGAACATGACCTGGAAATGAATCATAGTCATTATTTGATGTTAGATGATGGAAGCTTTCGATTTTATAGTACAGAAGATTATCGAACACAATTATGTGTTCACTTAGCAAAACTACACCATGAAACTGATTTTCCTCGTAAGTTTTAGTAGTTTAAATATGCTTTGCTTTTATCCAATAACGATGTAATTTTATAATAGTTGTTGAATTTACGCTAACAAATAATGAAGAAGAATTTTACTTAGAGGTTAATGTAAGATGTATGCTGCTACTTTTATTCTCACAACTGAATGCTTTCAAAGGTTTTTTAAATAAACATCTATCAAAAACTAACGGCGTGTACGGCATCTCTCGATAGAGCATCAGAAGGTTGAAAAACGTTGTTTCTATAGTATTCTAATGTGAAATTATAACAACTGATAGATATAATTGTCGTCCTTAACTCTTTCCGATCGGATGTTGCTATATGGCACCATTTCTCTGTAGAGGAGTACGGTATTTTTTGAATAGACAACGGGAAATGGTTAATTGATGAAATTTACAAATCATCATATTAATCTTGTCTTTTATATATAGGGAAGGCGAGAAATAGATAATTATAAAATAACAGGAGATAAACCAGAATTGACATTGAAAACTTCCAAAGCACTGAGAGTTTAACACTAATATCATAATTGATAAGATTCAATATTAATAGTTATGAGAGATAAAACTTTTTAATACAATTTACTCTATGATGAATGTTATACTAACGAAACATATTCGGTCAGAACAAAACGAGACAGTCAGTAATTACTGGAGTAGGTATTAGTTTTATGAGATAGTGGAAAAGACTTAGTCATATTACTGTGATTCTGCGTGTGAAAAACAATTTTCGAGTTAGGAATATAAACTTTCGATTTTATCAAAGAAGTTTAGGTCTTCCCACAATGATAACACTAAAATGAAATATTGACGACTTAGAAATCTTCATGTTTTTGACTGAAACAATATTCTCGAAAAGTTGTCTCTTACTATTGGCTTTTAATGTTGAGCTAGAATCCTTTAAGAAATAAATATCGTACATTTGAAGCGCACTCTCAATACCTTTCATGAAGCTGTTTCCTATCTGAAGCTGATTGTTGTTTTCACAAATATGTCATTCGTTTTCCCTGTAATTCATAACGATGTTTAAAGCACTTCGTAGATAATCTTCATAGTAATCATATATTACTTAAATCATGTTGAGTTTTGACTCTTAAGTAGAATTAGAATTTAATTCGGCAGACTCTAATCGTTGCAAATTAATTAAAATTTATAACAAGAATTGACACTATTTAATACAAAGATTGCGTTCTTCATTATTTTGTCTCTATTCACAGTTCCTGTTGTTACTATTGTGGTTGAAGGTGGCAGAGATACGATAAGAAATATATACTATGATTTACGTGATAACATCCCTGTTATTATCATTGATGTAAGTAAAACAAACAAAATCTGTCATGTAATTGTAACATAATCTAAATAGGGTAGTGGCCGTGTTGCTGACTTTTTCAAACGTTGGTTATTATATACAAAAGAATTCGATGAAACTAGTAAATATCCTCCATATTCATATGAAATTGGTGAGATTGATAAAGCAACTCCAGTTAAAGCTTTTTCACCAACAATTGATGATACAAATAGTTCAAAAATAGGGTAAAAATTTAATATTAAATCAGTTGTTTTTGTATTTTACTTATGTAATCTTTTTAGTACTCGTACATATTTTGAAGTTCAACTTGATGCATCTCGCAATACGTAAATAAATAAATGTTTATTTCATTATCTAGAATTATTTTGTAGGATTTTTATCTAAAGGCTCAAGGGAATGTTTGAAAGTTATGATGAACGACTTAGAAAAGATCTTCAGTTTCTACTATCACGTCATGATCCTAGTAAAGGAAAGAAGTCAAATGATACATCAAACAATAATTCAAAAGATCCAGAATCAATTAAATTCAATAAAATAGTTCAACAAGTTATGTATTGTTTGCAACCTGCTGTTCGCTCTGGTATAGCTGTATTTAATTTAAATTCAGATGATAATTTATCTGAAACTATTTTTCGTACTGTTTGCAAATGTAAGTTAATTCTATGATATAAGATTTTCTTTTTGTTAATTTGATTTGTTTCAGCACGTCAAAAATACTTTGAAAGAAAAGAAAGTGATGAAAATGAAACAATGGAAAGGTCTCTACGAAAATCTAAACCACAACCCACTCCATATGTTAAACAACATCATGCAGACTCACGTCACGATGTTAATAGAAGAGATCAAAATGCACAACGATCACAATTATTACAGTTAGCGATGGATTGGGATTGTATTAATGTTGCAAAAGAATTAATTCTTCAAAATTCATTAGATAATATTCTAGTAAGAGTGATTGATTTTTAAAGGATAGATAGATAAACTAATTTGTTAGTAACATAACTTTACAAAATTAAATATACATATATTAAGATGGCAAATTTTTCTAGAATTAATCCTTTTATGTTGTATATGTGAAACTACTTTGAATATTCTAAAGAAACTGCCAATAGTGACATGACTTTATAAAAAATATTGGTCTTTACTTTATGTGATTTTATTTAAAACAAAGGGGAAAGCGCGTAATCATGAATTCTCATGAATTCCAGGGATTCTCTATGATTTTCCAGAAGTGTCCAGTATTCGTCTGAAACCTATAAAGACTGTTTCTTATTTCCTAGAACTACTCGAAAATTTCAATCAACTTCTGACACTATCCAAAAATGTAACACATTCAAACGATGATTAGTTTTCTTTTAATACTCAAATAAGTAAATTTTACGTAGAAAATATTTTATATTCCTGTTCTCAATCATTTTATTAATTTTTCTTATGTTTGAATAATATTATATCGATGTTGTTTTTTCTTTCGTCTAGAACAAAGAAGAAGCTTTTGTGAATGCTTTAACAAAAGATTTACCAGAATTTGCTTATGAATTTCTCAAATTGGGTATAAATCCACGTGAAATATTCTTCGAAGGTGATCCACGCTTTGACCCAAACAATCAATATAGAAAATTTCTTGAATGTTTGTACAACGATGACGCTGTGGTAATATATATTTACAAATTAAAATAGATATTTATGTGTTATATATTTATAGAATAGTCATACAACTCAATTAAGTGCATTTATTGAATCGGATGATGCTGTTAGAAAACAGATTCATACAACTGATGATTTAAATGATGTTCTTGCTACATTGATTGGTGATTATATGCACAAATTATACTTTGATTCAAATAAAGATGTGAGCGAATATCGAGAGTCATGGGGTTTAACAGAACAAAATATAGACCAAAATATAGAACAAAATCAAATGAATGCTCAAAATCCTGACCACCACGTTAAACCAAATAAAGAAAGAGTTTTTGATATCATAATGCGAGATTTATTTATATGGGCAATACTTATGAATCATACTGAAATGGCTCAAGTCTTTTTAAGTCACATGAAATATCGAATATGTGCTGCATTGATTGCAACAAAAATATTAAAACAATATTTTCAAAGAGCTCCATATGGTGATTTAAGAGATAATTATGAGAAAAATGCAAAATACTTTGAAGAATATGCTATTTCATGTATCAAACTATGTGAGAAAAACAATACTGTTCAAGCATGTGAAATAGTTTTACAACGAGTAGAACTATATGGAAATGTGACTTGTCTTCAAGTATATTAATTAGTTTTGTTTTTCTCTAGGAAAAACTGATTTTTCTTGAAATTTATATATATTTAGATTGCTGCTGATGCAAAAGATAAACTATTTATTGCAACACCATGTTGTGTTCAAGCTATGAATAATATATGGTATAAAAATATCCATCACGAACAATCAAATAAACGAAATGGAATAGCTATGGCTATTGGAGTTTTTTCACTTGGTCTTCTAGCGCCATTTTTTGTCAATTATAGAGATCCTCCAAAGGTTAGAATTTATTATTATTTCAATTTTTACAACAATAGAAAGATATCAAATGAAATTTAGCTACAACTCTAGGATATAGCAGATGATGTTTGATATGGATTGTCTGAAAATATAATTATCGAAATATCGAAAAATGAGGATCCACATTAGTTTAAATCGATTTTATTTATCTTTTTCGTTATTTGGAATTTTAGTTAGTATATCCCATTATTAGCATGACATTGTTTTTATTGAGATGAGAATCAGTAATCATTGTACAAAATTATAACTTTCGTCTAAAATAGATTGATATTTGATATACTAACTGAATTGACATCACATGGAAGAGCCTATAGAATCTTTTGTTATTTAATAGATTAAAATATTTGAAAACAGTGTTGTTTTTATATAAGTACTCATGACAGATATTTATTCTAACATTCACAGAAAAGTTCACTGATGAACATTAGCGCAAAGATATGAACAAATCAATTTCATATCATATCATATATCGAATAACAGAATGTCACTCTTTACTTAATGAATATACGAAAAATTCAAGATTAAAGGAAAAGAATGTAAGGAAGTATTTACGACTAAATATTGCACGAATAAGGAAATCTACTCGTCCTGAGCAAAATCAAATACTTATCATCGACTATCATCAGTGGTATTAACACAATTTTTAAAACAAAAACGCAAGCTTTTGCTGTCGACAGATATTGATCATATTTTCTTATTTAAATTCTAAGAAATATAAACGAATAGAAAATATTATCACTATTCTTTAATTAACAAGATTTTATTTTCATTTTAATTAGATAATAAACAACGAGAAACCTAAACGATCGTATGTATTCTTAACTAGAAATTCAATTTATAAAAATAGTATATTATATTTAGTTTACAATCTTATGGTATAGATTATGCCGATCCATATCTAAGTGGATCTCGTCGATATACTAAATATCCTCCAGTAAATAATTATATACAGCGATTGAAAAATTTTCATCAAGCTTTACACATAAAATATTCTTATCATTGTGTATGTATACATATTATCATTTAAGATAAAATCTAAATACCTGTTTTTTAGTTAAATTATTGTTTTTTTCTACTACTATTTTCGTACGTACTTTTATTTAACTTTCAACCACCAACTTCTTCAATACCTTGTATCCATTGGACTGAAATTTTAACAATTATACTTGTTTCAACCATGTTAATTGAAGAAACTCACTATGTAAGATAATAAAATCTATACAAAATAATATTCATAATTTCCTTTTTTCATTTTTATAGTTTGTTAGCCAAGATAGTATAACATTGTCTGGAAAATTTGAATGTTATTTTAGGGATCTATTTAAAATTATGACTCTTGTTGGATTTATACTTTTTTATACTGGATTAATTCTACGATTTACTCATGCAGATGATGAGAGTGAATTTGTCGCAGCTAGGTAAGACGGTTTTTCTAATAAATTTAATATAATTTATCAAAATGAAATATAGATGAAAATAATTTGTCGTAAATGAATTGTTTTTTAAGAACATGATAATAGTAAAATATTTATTCTGTACTACTGTTCAAAAGGATAAACAACAGAAGAGAAGTTATATATTGATCAGTATGCTGTTTTAACGGGTCTTTTATCTCTTTGACTTTTGCATAATATTTGTTGTTATCTAGAATATCTGATATTTGCTTTGATTTCCCAGATGACACACAATAATAAGCTCAGTATTGTTTGATAAGAATATTAGATCAGAATCATTGTAATTGAAACTTTAGAGACAAGCAGATGAGAAATCACTCAATGTTCTTCACAAACTCTTCTTTTGTGTTTGTCTGTGAACGAAGGAAACAGTTAACCATTTTCAGACTCGCGACAAGTCTGTCAAAGCCAACAAAAGAGAACTAGGTGAATAATAATACTCATATCACATTCGATTTACTTTAAGCTTATGAGTTTTTCTTCCAGTAATATTTTTATATAAAAAATAAACTTCATAAGATACATTTTTGATTTATATATATATTTTTATTTAATTGTATTTATTCAGGGTAATATGGGCGATTGATGTTGAACTTTGGTGGCTTCGTTCTCTAGCATTTATTATTGTTATACCATCTCTTGGACCTCATTTGGTGGCTATTGGAAAGATGGTATACATATATTTTTCTTTTTAAACTTAAATAACATCATTTTATTTTCTCCAGCTCAAAGATCTTTTGTTCTTTATTTGCATAATTGCTGTTGTTATG